TTTTTCCTTTCAAATATTTTACCACTTTATCAGGGTCCTGTAGTTGTTCGGGAGTGAAGTCCAAACCATTGGGGGTGAGAAGTTCTCTAGATCCCTGCCCATACTCTCCTACATGCTGTGCCACCCATGACTGTCCAGCCTCAGGGCAGATCTCTGGGTGTTATTCTTCAAACAATTTTTTGTAATTGTGAACAGGGCTTGAAGCACATTAGGAGACATAGCAATAGGAACATGCTGGCTCTAACATCCAAAGTGTATTTAAAATTCTCAAAAGCTGCTGCAACCCGCCTGAAGGAAGAAGAGGAGGTGAAAGAGCAGGAGAAAGTATCCCCCTCGTCTTCCCTGTAGATTGGGTGCAATTATTAATTCCAAGAGATGTTGTCTGAGGTATGGACATGACAGTAGTGCCACATACAAATAACCTCATGACCAGTGATGTTATCATATTGTAAGTCAATATTACACAGTGCAGCAAAATGAGAATCCTGATCCCTCTCCCAGAGGTGATAAACAGCGCCGCAGGAATTAACACACAGCAAGTAAGCATTTACTAACACAACCATGTGAACAAACAAAGCACCATTGTGACCAGCGACTGTTCACCTGATATAATAAATGTGTATAACAACTTCGTTTTAACACATTCTGGTCAGATCTGTTGTTATCTCAACCCTTTGTGCTCCACATTGGGTGCCAAAAAGGACTGTCATGGTTCAGCCCCAGCCTGCAGCTGAGGACCACGCAACTGCTCGCTCACACACCCCTCCCCCAGTGGGATGGGGAGGAGAATGGGAAGAAAAAGGTAGAACTCATGGGTTGGGATAAGGACAGTCTACTGGGACAGCAAAGCAAGAGAGAAATAGCAACACCACCACATATAACAGAATATACAAAGCGGGTGATACACAACGCAATTTGCTCAGTGTGCAGAACCTGATGCCCATCCCATCCCTGAGCAATGACCCCTCCTCCCTGGCCAGCCCCCCCAGGTATATGCTGAGCATGACGTCATATGGTATGGAATCGTGCTTTGGCTAGTTTGAGTCTGTTGTCCTGGCTGTGTCATCTCCTAGCTTCTTGTGAGAATTAACTCTATCCCAGCTGAAAGCCAGGACGTGTTATCATATATTTCCTTAGACTTCTTCAGTGTTCTTTTTAATATAATTTTCCATGTATTGTTGAAGTTTATACTATCTGAAGTCTTTATATTTAGAAACTCCACAGTTGATTACTGGAGTTTGCTACACCTTCACAATGTAACTCCTACTTTTAAAACGCTAAAATAGGGGAAATTGTTGCAAAATTAACATTTAAATTAAAAGCATTCATGATTACCCTGTCTTAAAACTGTACTGTGTAAATTCAGTTTCTTTCCCACTTAGGAGAGCTTTAAATAGGACTATCTCAAATTACTTGAGACACAACCTCGCTTCATAGGATGGAACTTCCAGTGTGGGGCTTTAGCGGAGAAGTAAAATTATCATCTGTAACAGAAGAATGCTTTGCACAGAAGACAGAGCTTTTTGCTAATTCAATATCAAGATGGAATTATTAAAATATAGTATAAATATACAAAGATATTCTAATAATTCCCCAACACCATCAGAAGAGAATAGCATATCAGCTTCTTTGTCACACAGTTGTAATGTTCTGTAGACTCCTTAAGATATTTCATTTAAAAATTCTTCAGAGGCTCGGAAGACCGGACACCTGAAAACAGCCATTTAAACTTACTTACTTATGCTTGGAGATAGAGAGGCTACATACAGTTTTTGAAAGCTGAAGTATCTAAAGTTAAGGTGATTTGAGATACAATTAAACAGTGTTAAACAGTGTTACATCTGAATTAAAATTCAGAGTGTGTGCAGTAGTAGTTGTTACTTGTCTGCAAGTGTGTTCCTCTTGTCTGTTGCTCTATTTGTAAACATGATCAGATGTGTCATCTCCACTAAACAGAAGTGTTGATCTGAATCTTCAAACTGTATAAAATGAATGTTCACTCTGCGTGTTTTTTAGCTTCATTGGCCTTTGTTTCCAATTGTCTCTCAAATCTCATGGGTTTCATGTTTTGATATTAATAGTTTTGAAGAGGATTTATATTTATAGATTTTTTTTTTATAATGCTTCAATTAATTCTGTTTATTTTTGTAATTCGGACTGAGTTGTTTGGCATTATTTGTCACCTTTTAATCTGCCCTGTTAATTAATGTTAAATAAATCTGACAGTCCTCTAAATACAAAATAAATATGGTTTTGTAGACATTGAACTGCAACTTTACTATTTATTTTAAGGTGTTCAGAAGTGCTTCTTACCTCTGAGAGGTAATTTAATGTTAGTTAGTGTAATTGTCTTTTATTTTGAGGTAAAAAATTGATCACATCTTCTAAATGGAAAACAGAAAAACGGGTATAAACATTTATTAATAGTATAGCACAGATATTTATTGTGAGTATAGTAGTCATTTTATAAAAATCTATCAGTGGTATATTATACCTTGTTTTTCAGATAAGAAGATCTAAGTATTTGTGCAAAACAGGGATTCTTGAATGCCAGTTCAGTGTTTGTTTTTTTCCCCACCAAGTCACGTTATTTCTTTTCTTTACCAGAAGTCATAGGGGTTTGATAGTCAGAAAAAAATCCAAATAACATCCATAGTGTTATACACAGACATAGGAGATGCATTACTCATGTCGCAGCATGTAGAACCTTTGGTTGCTCTACTGATATTCTCAGGTGTCAAAACAAGGACATGACTGTTATGGTCGTGTACTATTTATAGACGTTGCTCATTCACCAAGCAAAGGTTTGATGAATTTTCCCTCAGCTTTTATTAACAGGTCTTCTTAAATGCTTTAGTTCCACTTCTATCCTGTCTTCTGGACTTCCTTAGATTAAGTAGAAAGCAATCATGATGATATTAGGGCCCAAATGCATTTCAGGGTACTTAATTCTTCACGTTCCTCTGTTGTCTTTTTTTAAAGTCAAACTGGCAAAACACAGATCAACATTGTACATATATCTGCAAAGATAATTAATCTTTGGAAAGCCACAATGAAATCACTGGGACTCTGCAGGAGCTCATGATTCTGCTTTTGGATCCTAATACAAGGTTGAATTCTGAAAGTACATAGATGTAGACATTAGTTGAGGCAGTGCAAGATGCAAAGTGTTTTGCTGCAAATATGTGAAGTTTGAAAGCACTCAAAGTAGTACATTGTTATGACGAACAAGAAAATGATTAAATTCAGAGAAAAAGTTTGGGAAACTCCAAACAGAGAATAGAGAAATGTCTACTGGAAGCAGTTCAAAAGATGCAATGAGTGTCTCTTCCAGGCAATCTTCAAATTATTCTGAATTTACTGGGATATTTCAGTGAGAGGGACTTCTTAAGTGAGCTTGGTGCTCTGTTATGTTTGCAGAAGTGCAGGAGGATTGATATAAAAGTGAAAGAAAGATTTTTCGCAGCTTGTCTTCAAAGACATCCCTGTAAGAGTTGTTTCTGACTAGTAGAAGGCCATCAGAAGAAAGAAGGGAGATACTTGCTATGTTTTGTGTGCTTTGTGTTAAGCTAGTTCAGGGAACAGTATAGATGATTTCTTGGCCTGAGTCTTTCACTTACTGATGCTAGCTTGATAGCATGCCCTGGATTCCTACAAAAGAAACAGCCAGTTTTGGGGGAGGCTGGGTTCTCCTCTGTGCTGACTTTGAGAACTCCACAAAAACTGATTTTGGACGCTGAAGTCTATGATGAGGCTGTGAAACTGTGAAACAATGTCACGAGGGGGTGTCTGTTCACGCACTTAAAAACAGATTTGGCTACCTGTCATGAAAGTATCACTGAACTGGCAGGGAGAGAACTGCACATCTTAACAATTGCTTCTTCCTCTGATTTCTATTTCTAGCCTAGAAAGTAGACAGAAAGGACTTAAGTGAGCTAAAAGTGCGTAATTTTAACTCAATGGTCATAGCAAAACAGGGAATGCATGACAGTTAAACTTTTGTGAGGAACTTCTGCCTGTTGTTGCAACAAATGTGAATGTATTCTAATATTTTCTTGCCTTTATAGGTATTTGCATATTTTCCAGTGAGAAGACCTTTTGCTTTCTGTAAGTTGCTATTATCACAAGTGTTAATGGGTTTCTAGCTATTAAGATGTAATCATATGCCTTAAGTATTTAACTATAAATTTGAAAAATCTTCATGAGCAATCTCAAAGGAATACTTGGAATGCACACATAGTAAATTGGCTCATTTTCTTGTAATTTACTAGAAGTGCTGATATGAGAGCAGTTGTAATGTGGAAAGAATATTAATCCGTGGAGATGCATTGTATATATGAAATTATTACTTTAAAACTTCAAGATATATGAGGTGATTTAGTCTTGTTACTTACAATCACAGTAGAAAAATGATCACTATCTTTTGAGGTAATGCATTTGAAAGAAGTAGAGCACCTTAAAAAAGACAGCTGTAAAAAATTAAATTAGATGTTGCATAACCATGTATCACTTCTCAAGGATTATTGTGGGTGAAAACACACCCACAGGAGTCACACACACACACACAGGAGGCCTATAGTAAAGTTTTTTTCTTTCAGTTTGCAAAAGCTGTCTAGAAATATTTTCACTTGAGATCTTCTCTGAAAAATAAACCCAGTGATTCTTGACAGCAAATCCTGAAGCAACTAGCTTGATGCCATTCTCTGGAGAAACAATCACCCTTTGCTTGTACTGTTTTTAATAAAGGTAACTGGAGTTTACATGACTTTTAGATTTAGTGCACTTCAGAAACAATTGTGAAATTATTATCTGATTTCTTTCCTTTTTTTTTTTTCTTAATAGAATGCGAGAAGTGGAGGAACTGCCATTGATTTCAATACTATAATATTGATCAAAGTTATTTTTGGCACTGGGAGGCTGAATATCCTTGCTCTTTCTGGAGACATCATATGTAAGAAATGTCTAAGGCTTTGTAAAACTGTTGCCCAGTAGACCGGAAGATGGAGACACAGCTAGATCCCATGAAGGATGACTTGCCCTTAATGGCCAACATTAGCTACATGCTTGTAAAGCATTATATATTGGACTTGGATGTGGATTTTCAAAGTAAAGTTATCGAAGGCACCATAGTTCTATTCTTTGAGCCTGGGAGCCGGTACAGGAAAACCAGCAGCACTGGCAAAGGTGGCTGCCAGTCACAGTTTGATGAAACCGGTAAAATGAGGGCATCTGAATCCTGCCGCGTTCCTGAGACAAATGTGAGTACCTCTTCATCTGAAATGGAGTATAATGATTCTGCTGTCTGTGGTAAAGGTGAAGAAGATACTTCTGATAAAAACAGTAACCATAGCAACGAAGAACAGGCTTCTGGGATTTCTGGTTCAAAGGACTGTGGTGACATAGAGAATCATGGGAACAAGGATTTTCTGCTGGTATTGGACTGCTGTGATATATCCGTGCTAAAGGTTGAGGAGGTAGATGTTGCTGCTGTATCGGGCATTGAAAAATTCACAAGATCTGCCAAGCTGACTGATGTTTCAAAGGAGCTCAACAATCTCAGGAATCAGATTGTACATGAACTTGTGACTTTACCTGCGGATCGCTGGAAGGAACAGCTATACTATTTTACTCGCTGCAGCCGGGCACCTGGCTGTGGAGAGCTTCTGTTTACTACTGGCACTTGGAGCTTGGAGATAAGGAAATCAGGAATTCAGACCCCAACAGACTTTCCTCATGCAATAAGAATATGGTACAAAACCAAACTGGAGGGAAGATCTGTTACATGGACTACAGACCAGAATGGCAGGTATGTAACTACTAGCTGAAAGCTTTGCACACATTAATTTTAAACTTAGGTGCAAGAATGTAGAATCATGTAATGCTGAGCAGCTGTGAAGATGATGAGCATTCTCTTACATTGTTTTAATTTCATCCTTGGTTTGAATCCTGTTGTTATCCTGTAGAAGAACAGACAAACTCTCTGCTCAAGAAACCCCAGTGGACTTGCAGACCTCAGGCCTAAGTGATTGCGTTTGCTTATTCTGAGTGGGAGTAAATAATTGTGTATTGGAATATGGGTGTGCAGGGAAAAGGGAATTACCACTTAGGGGAAGAGAAGGTATGCATGGCAGGTTATTTTCACTTTAATACTTTGTGTTCCTTCTCCTTCCTGGCTTACACAACTGATCATACAGCATAAAGATCAGTATACACAATAGAATTGCTTCATAACTAGTCTTTTATCAATATTGTAATAAGTTTAGAGATGCAGTCTTTTGCTGTTTAGCGTCTCATAATCAACTTTTAAAATCTTCTTCATCTATTATGTAAAGTACATTGATGATAGCAAATGAACTGCAAACTGAAACTGCAAGAAGAATTGGCATTTTATCTATCTTTTGTGAAAGTACACAGTGCTGTACAGAAATCTTCAAGATAAGCTCTTCATAGTAGGGAAACTACAATCCAGTATTGACTTCTACAACTGTAATTGTTTTACTGTAATGTTCAAAGCTGGATTTTAATGGCTGTTAGTTCTTTATGATACCTAAAAAACAGGAACAAAGTTGGAAGACGACGAAGACATTTGGTCCAATTGAATACTTGGTTTTTATTCCCAAGCTAGAAATATATGGTTACCTTTCATTTCAGTTATCCTAATAGAAATTAAGAGTCACTGGCATCCACATTAGGGAGGAAAATGAGTCCTTTTAATTGTACATTTGGTAGTTGAGTACTTCTGCTGCTAAAGCATGAGCAGCATCAAGGAATATCTCAGTCATGTTGACTACCTCTTCACCTTTCCCATCCCTTCCTCACTCCCCAAGGAGTTATTTTTGGTATGAGTTCAGGAAATTTAACTCAGTATATTATCTTTAGTTATGAAAATTCTGAATTTTAACTTCATACAAAGGTAGGGCAATTGCCAATTGTGATCACACAATGTGTCTGTGTCTACCTGTCTCTCACTAAAGTCTTTGAGACTAACGTTAGCAACACTCAGCTGGTATAGGACTCTTCCTATGTGTGTTACCTGTGTGTTTTGAGCATTTGAAGGTTTCTTTTAAGCATCTAAATCATTAACATCTTTTAGTTTTGACTTTTTTCCCCTTTCACTGCAAAGGATTATTCTTACTTTAGAGACATTTCATGGCAGTTGTACACCAACACATGGAATTTTATGAATCAATAATGAAGCAGGAAAAGATGGCTTGACGTGGGCCGGGCAGTCTAATGGTAGCAAGTAGTCTCAAGCTGGTTTATTTTCAGTCTTTTGTAGGGTATTCCAGAAACTAATGCCTGTCAGAAAATAAGCTTTTATATCATAGTCATTAGAATCTTTCTTGCTACATTTTTAAAACCAAATTCTGTATGTGATGAATCCATAAATATAGTGGTAAAGCTGATTGTACACAATGCTGTCATATTTTTCCTTCCTTTTCTAAAAATAAAGTCCATTTATAATGTATCGGGGGAAGTACTATTACATTGTATTCTCATAGGGGAATTCTTTAAATTGTTCCAAATTGTGCATATGGACCTTTTTAATGCAGATGTCAAATCCTTTCCCAGAGGAGCCTAGAATCTATAGTTCTAACCCTGAAGAAAAGCAAAGCGAAAAACAAAGTATAAGCATTGTGTGGCCACTTCAAATGTTTCCTCTAATTTAACACTAGTACAATGTTTTGAAATTTAACCTATGCACGGTTTGATAAAGACTTCCATTTTATTTGTTTTAAACAATGATGTATTATAATACAGAAAAGAATCAGTTAAATAAAAGCTTTATGGGATGAGTTTAGGCAAGTTGAGATACATGTATGCAAAGCTGATGTTAGCACAGCAGGGCACACCTCTGTTTTCAGTAGAGGAACTGAACACATGGAATTTCTGCATTTCCCTGTTTGGACTTTAGACACTAGAAGAAATGTTAATAATCAAGAAGGAAGGTTTTCTTTAGCCTTAGAACATGTGTTTTCTACTAACATGGTTTTTTGGGGTCTTTGTGCAGAGGTAGTAAAAAGGGGGCAAAATAGAGTAATAGAGTTCGTGGGTGAGTACATGTGGATATGCACATATATATACCTGTATGTATCAATATACACAGGTTTTGTTTCTCTGAAAGTTATACTTACAAGGACTATATCAGTTCTTAAAATTGGCACATAACTTTTAACAGTGGTCAATAACATAATTATTAAAATCGGAAAAAATAAGTGTTGATTATAGTGTGTGTAATATATTTACCATGAACAAATAGCAGTTCGGTTTCAAAGTTTTTCAATTGTTTGCAAGCACAATACAGCACTGGGGTTTCAACCTAAGAAGGTAATGTATAATAAACTTATACATTTGTTTGAAGTATTCTTACTAATATTAAGTATTATAAAACGATTTATAATAAAAACTTATTTTAGACACTGTAATAACCATTTTTTTAGGGTGTTGAGTCAGCATGACTACCAGTGTATTTTGAATTAAATGCTCTCTCGTTATAATTGTTAAGAATCCTTATTCGTTAAAATATCCTGAGATCCCATCTCTTTATTGTTCAAGAAAAGGATTAAACACATTTGGGTTAAAATTAAAGCAGTAATTGTCCTAGCAGACAGTCTTGCAAATTCACCTCTAATGGGAGATTCCTCACACCTTTCTTCTGCCCTAGTTATTGCTACTTCTAATGCTGTCTTAAATTAGTTTGTTGATTTTAATGAGCGACTGGAATGAAACTCATTTCCTCATTGTGGGATTAGGAATGAAAGAGTATCTTTGATATGAATGACATCAGTGAAAGACATCCCATGACGCTGAAACCTTTCAGCACTGGTTCCTAATCCTGTAAGCTACCAATGCATTATTTACTTTGGCATATATTAATAGGTACATGAATTGGTTAGGCACATGCCTATTTTTTCAGGCTAAGCCCTAGATATCAGATATCAGAAAAGGAAAAATTCTGGGAAGTAAAGCAGATGGGTTAATTACTCCAAATGTATGATTTTAATGAGAATGCTATGGAAAAAGTGTATTTTTAGAAGCTATTAAAGCGTGATTGAGCAGTTTTGAGGAAACACTCTAGAAAGACCTCGTGCTAATTTTCTGAAGTGGGAAATATTGGAAAATGTGAAATGATCTCCTTAAAAAAATGATCATGATATCTGGCTATTTATTTGGCCAATTTAAATGTCTTAAAAAAATACTTTGTACCTGTCTAGTTGATTATCTTTACGATATCTTATTATTAGATTAAAATAACAGTGTATTTTTAAAGAATTCAAGAAATATTTTTGCCTTTATGAAAGTTATGAAGGTGAATACAGCAAGCATAAATGTACAGTTTGGTAGAAGTGCTAACGCTGGCATATGTTCTGTAATTAAATGCTTCTTTTCAGATGCAGCGTTCAGCTGTATCACAGACATCACTGAATTGCATGGTTCCTCCCTTGTTGTAATATATATATATAGATTGCTAAAGCACCTGAGGTAGGTAGTAATTAGGAGAATATCCAAAGAGGTGGTACCTAATGTAGCAATAAAACAGACCTTGGTTTCCTCTTTAAATAATGTCATGTTACTGATTCTGCTGAAACAGCAAAGAACTAGTAGAAAAGTTCTGCCAAACCTTTTGTGATCTGTTTTGTCGACCTCTGTCAGGAGTTCATGTCAGGCTGGATCTCACTGGCATGGAGACTGGCACTCACTGTTTGTATTGTGTGCAGATAAAAAAGACCAATTTTACCTTTTTTGAAACTGTTTTTTTCAAGCCTGCCTCTCCTTAAGACACGTGTGTTTTGAAATGCAGATCATGTTCAAAGAGAGTAGTTGCAGTTGTTCAGGTGCATTTGTATCAAGAGCTATTCATAAATTTCAGTACTTCTGAAGGTAAGCTTTTAAAAAGTCATACTCTTCTTTGGCACTGTAGCCAATCAAACTGTGTTAGGTATGTTGCATACAGTAAGGAGGATATCAACATAGTTGATATTTCCTTTTGAAAGAGATGGAAATTTTCATAAATGTTCTAAACTTCGTATTTTTTATAAATATTCAGGGTAGTGGAAACATGCTAAATATGTTTTGAATATTTAGCTAGAGCTTGAAGTTGGAAGTGAATTCTTGAGCAGTGATCCCTAATTTCCAGGAGGTTACACATAGAAGTCCATGTTTATGAACTTTCTGTGTACGGAAATATAACCTAGAGAGGAAATGCTTTGTATAGTTGTAAGCACCATGTATCTAGGGTCAGTCACAACAATGATATTTACTGAAAATCAGGAAGTGGAGTTTAATACATTTTAGTATATGTGATTTCCTTAAGTTTCAGAACAGTTCGCAACAATTATGAAATTGTTTCATTCAGAGACTGCTGGACAAGGAAAATGTCACCATTTCGGATGTGGAAGGATGGCTTTCCAAACATGAGTCTTCAAAGTTTTGATTTAGAATTGTTTAAGTCTATCATCTCTTATGTCCTACAAATGACAATATAAAGGATGCAAAATTGTTCTTTGTGTCCTTAGTGGTACTTAAGAGTGAAGAAATGCATTTAGCTATGGTGAGCTAGCAATTTGCAGAGGATATTGTCTGGGTATTGGCTACAAGCCATTCCCTATTTACATACCTGGGCATTTTAGGCCATACTTAGAACATTTGCATAGGCCTGCAAAAAAAGAGGGCTATTGTACTGATTCCCAGGCTGGATCACAAAGTTTTAACTTACTTCATCTGAAGCCTTACTGATTACCCTTGAAGTTCAGCATAATGCTTTGTGTTTGTACTTTCTGTCTCCAGAGTGTATTACAATATAGG